TTTTCACTAGTTTTATGTTTGTTATACACTTTATTTTTTACTGTTTTAGTGTTTTAGACAAATTATAATTGTTAACTAAACTTGTTTTATAGTATCATAACTAACATTAATATTAAGTTTTGTATTTGAAAAATATTTTATGATAATACAGTAAAGTGGAAAACATTGTCATAGAAATGTCATATAATAAGAATTAATCTGAAATTTAGTGAAAACTATCTTATATTATATCATTGAATATAATTGTTTAACTAATCTGTAAGATTGAAATGATTACAACTATATTAGCAATTGTAATGGAAATTGATTTGTTTTGCAGACATATTGATGGTAGTGATGGCCGAAGACGCTGATCGCAGCGCAGTATTCGATGAAATCCGAAACTTTTCTCAAAGAAAGCTCAAGAAAGTCGAGACTAAAGTGACCTCCGGTTCCGGTGAAGTGATCACCGAGAAAAGGGGGGCTAAAGGGGTCCAGACAATCAAACACGAGGGCATCAAAGGGGCCGGTTATGTGGTCGACAATAAACCTGATCTTCAGGTCGGACTCATTATTCCCGGACTTATGATATGTAAGTATTTTTTGCTATTTACTTATTAATATGATTTATTGTGTTATTTAAAATGTTTGTTAAATTGAAGTTCATTTTGAAAATCAAAATACACCACAAATTTATTTTTAACAAACTTTTTAAAAAGTGTTTAAAAATTGATTTGTTGTAATGATTTGAGTGTGTATTCAATGCCAAGAATTGGCCAAATCTATCATCAATTTTCAAAACTTTAGTGAATATTTGAACGTCAAATGATTCAAACGACGACTCAATCTATTCGTTCACTAAAGAGTGAATTTTGTTGAAAACGAGTTATAAATAGATTTGAGTCTTATTTCATGGTTTAGTTATATATAAAAATTAATGCACAAAATGAATGCCTTATGTCTTACCGATGCTTTGCTCCACATCTTTCACTTTCAATCAACAAATATTTTCTCATTTTATTTCAATTAGGATAAATAAAATAAATCATAACTTTATTATGAAAAATTGTTTTTATAAATAAATTAAAATTTTTTGCTTAAAAATGAACTCTCTCTCTCTCTC